ATATTGTTATACATTGTTCTTTTAAAATATTTCTTGTACTTGTCCTTTTTGACTTTATACAGTATGATGCATTACTGTAGATTAAGCAGAATGCCAATTATTTGAGCTCAACATGTGCAGCAGTATTATTGATTCATTTAATAGTGATGGCAAACATTTTTTTAGCAGAGTAATTACTTTAATTTTTAATACTTTATATACAATTTGAGAATAATTCAAAGTTTTATGTGTAAGTATGTATTTTATAATGCTGTATTGATACTAATGATAAATGTAATAATATTTTACAACTCTTCGACTAGGAAGTACTGCAGAGAGAGATGCCCACGAACAGTACAGCAAGAGGCACAAAGATGAAATCGTGAAAAACAATCATAAAATAATGAAAGGCAGAACAAAATCATAAAGTGGCATGCTGTCAGCTGGCAGTTTGTATTGTTGACGTGTGTCAGATTTATTTTCCTTTTCTAAAAGGGGTGGTCACCGTTTGTGTTTGTCATTTTGTAAAAGTCACTGTGCAACAGGGCAGGGTAATGTGGCCAAAAATATTTATCACAATATATGTTTGAAAATTTGCAATAACAATTTAACTGATGATATAATTGACACAAGACAAAACACTTTACAACTCCACAACTTTATTAGTGCAAAAAACACATCAATGTATTTTCACTTGAAGAAGCAGCTGTTTTTATGTGCATTAAAGCTATATAAATATTTAACAGTGCAAATGCAAATTCCTTGCTGACAGTTTAACTAAAAAGGCATTTCTAGAGGAAATGGGCCGACATATCCTCAGCATAACCATGTACAATATCCACAAAAGTTAAAAAGAGCTTATACACACACAATACGGTAATATTATGTTGAAGCACAGTACGTATCACTCCGCGAGGCTCCTGCCTACGATAGCCGTAATGCTCCGACAATCCATCAAGCAGTGCAGCTTCGTAGCTTCCCAAAGTCCTATTAAAACTAGTGCTGACAGCGTTAACTTCGTTAAAATGACGTTAACGCGGTTATGGCGGTAACGCGGCAAATCTCCGTTAGCGAGTTAACAGAGATGTGGGGCTGGACGGCACTAATGCATTGACGCCATGCAGGTTATTCGGCCCGCTTGCATGTTCTACCAAAAATTGTGTTTTGGTGTGTATCTGATGGACGAAAACCAAACCAGTTCCACACCACTGAAGTTGCAGCATTCTTACAAACCAATTCTGGTTCATCTATTTCATTCAACAATCTGCTTCCGCCCTTCTCATTCTCCATGCTTTTTCCGCCATGTGCGTATGAAAACAAAGGCACTGCGCATGCGCGTTTTACTCATGTTCTATAGCGATATTTCATTTTCTTATTGTTGAACTACATTATACCGGTATTACCTTGAACGGTATGATATGGCCCAGCCCTACTGCACAACACTGCTAAAATTTCAAAATACACAAAATTCAGAAAAAACTCACCCTCAAAAACTACCAGCTCTATTTGTCCAACTGCTGATCCCTGTCTAATGCCTTCCATCTACAATAAACTTAAATAATAATAAACTAAAAACAGTAAACTAATAAAACATTGAGCATGTTTAAGCTGACTTCCCAGAAGGGCAAAAAGTCAAATTGTTATTGACAATCCATGTAAACCCCACAGAATAACTAATCTATAATGACGTCAAGTTGTTCAGTAGCCAACAGGTTTGCTGGTGCAGGAACAATAGTCACCATGTGTAGTTTTTACAGTGGCGAGCATCTTGCAAGCTACAGAAGAGCAACACTGAGCAAAATAAAGTGTGTGCAACACAGACTGTCACTGTTCACCACAGTTTAATGATGTCAACAAGTTTATCTCCTTGGATTACTTGTGTGTCCAGAACACAAATACTCTTGTACCATCAGATCAAAGGGCAGCCGTTCCAGCTGAAGGGTTTATTTTTGGCCCTGACAGATGTGTTTGACACAGCTTCCAAAAAAAAAAAAATACTAAATGTCCGCTGTGAAAAGTCAACAGCCCCGCTCATTCATAGTAACACCATCCTGCTGCTTAACTGAGCTGATCACGAGGCATTTAACATAGTCTGCGAGAAATGTTACCAAATATATATAGAATATATAATGAGAATAGATGTTACTGGTGTCTCACAGTCACAGTGTCTGCAGCTCATCAGCTGTGGAACCTATATCAATATAAAAAGATGTACAGCGGAACAATTTGTTCTCATGTCCTCTATAAATAACCAGTGTTTTATAATGTTCTGACGCTGAACAGATTAGAGCACCAGAAACACTTTGAAGTCAATAAGCAAGTCTTCCAACACAGCACTCTGCTCTCAGACACACCAGCACGGATCTATAAGTCTATTCAACGTCAGACACATAAAGAAACATAATGAAATCATTTGAAGTAAGTAAGCTGCAGAATCAAAACAGCACTTCATTAGTGATGTTTTAGTGTTGATTTATTACCGGGTAGGTCAATGTTTAATGCTCCAGTCAGCTCACCACTCTCTCTCTCCCTATCTCTCTCTCTCTAAATATATATATATATATATATATATATATATATGTGTGTGTGTGTGTGTGTGTGTGTGTGTGTGTATTCACATGCAGCTTGGACCCGCGCCTGTTTCATGAGCTTACAGTGTATGATTTGCAATTTAAATTTTAAGCCTAAACATGAATGACAAGTGCACAGCTGCTATCTTTAGTGCAGTAAAAATGCAGGAAATGCTTGTTTTATTCTTAGCACACTGAACTTCTAGAATATTATCAAAATACAAACACTGACTTGTTTTTTTAGCATGTTACAGATGTTTAGATATCACAATTGTTCTGTATTTTAAACTCTCCTCCTTCAAATACAACTATTTCATGCTCAAAGCCCTGAAAGGACGCGTCAGAATTTTGTTTTCTGCTGGTCTCTCACAAATGTGTCAGTTCTGACTGTAGGTGAATGGTCAATATGGGAAATGCAAACAGTATGAAATTCCATCAAAGTACAGTTTGGAGCTGCTGAGGCAGAGTGTTATCTGGGCACGCACACTGTTCAGCTTTCATCTGCTACACTTCTGATATATCATTTTGTGTCTGCCCTCCTCCACACCAGCACAACTGTTGTGCTGGTGTGGAGTGCTGTTGTTGTGGATGAGGCCACTCAGAGTGCTGACATGTGGCGTCATAACGCTTTTCATTAATAATGATAAAACTCTTCCACAAAATAATAAAAGACCCACAAAAAATAACAGATGAAATGCATTAAAGGCCTCGTTTTTAAAAAGACAAACACACATATACCACCCAACCCCCAAGAGGCATATACACACACACATATATATACACAAACACAAAGCATCAGCAGATAAGACCAAAACTCTGACATTTGGGTGAACTAACCGTTTAAAATACTCTAAAACAGAAAAAAGGAGGAAGTAACTTTTTTGCAACGCTGATTATCGTTATTGCCATCATTACCATCATTTTTCTTTTAGTTTTATTTGAGTACACCGACACAAATTTGGACTTGGCTCCTGGTAACACCACACCCACCAGCAAAAGAGAAACAATACACTCCTGCCGTGTTTCTGGGCTATGTGCATCTCCGCGCACCCCGTACGTGCAGAGTCGGGGTGCGCTTGCGTAACGCAGCATGTCCACGTCTCAGGGCCTGAACAGTTCTGGAACGAACGTTCACTTTTTCTTCCCCCAGAAGATGAGGCTGTCTGTGCGCGCGCGCGTTATCAGCAGGGGGCTCCACTTCACTCAAAGAGAAGCGAGGCCGCGAGTCTCCAAATGCGGTATGACTCACAGAATCTGCGCGCGAGCCTGTTTGGGCGCGTGCGTGCGTTCGTGTAGCTCGCGGCAGAGTAAAGACAGAAAAGAACTGTCTCTGGAGCAGTGTGTAGACAGAACAGTGTGTGTGTGTGTGTGTCCTTGGTTTGGGCACGACACACTAAAGCAAAACATTTCCACTCGCGCTCGAAGATATTCCGTAAAAGGAATGCGAAACGCACATTTTCACTCAATTTCTCAATTTTACTCCTTTTTTCCTGATGTTTTACTCGCGCAATAACACGGCCCGTGAACACACACACTCACAAAAGACACACCTCCATTTGACATTGACACATATTACACACCCTCTCCAAAGAACCACAATACCCTCCTCGCGCCCCTCTTATCAGCAGATTACTACTCCACCAAAGCCCAAGTCCCCCTGTTCACACAGACAAGCCCAAAGCTTTCCATCTAAGAAAAAAAAGTATGAGCCCCGAAATTCCCACTGCTGCTGCCCAATAAGGACACCTAACTGGAAAACACCACAAAGAAAGAGCGTTGATGCTTCTCTCTACTGAAAGGCGTAGACAAAAATAATAAGGTGGGGGGCGGGGTGGGGGTATGTATATGAACATGTCAATAGTGGCCTTAATTCTGTGTACGGGAGATTTGAGCCGTGCCACTGAGCAGTCATGTCTGGTTCAGTCATGACCGACAGAGGAGGCTGGGAGAGGGAGGGGGCAACAAAGACCCGCTGGCTATGCCACATGTGCGTGTCAATAACGCGCACTGCACTCCCTCTGTCACGGGCTCACTCTCACCAAACTACAACTTAAGGCATACTGTTGGCGTTTATTAGCACTCGTCTTATTAAGTGAGCACATACCTGGCCCAGAGGCGTAACGTTTGTTGAGTTTTTGTTCGGTTGCCGTATTGTTGTTGAACGGTGCGGACTACATCCTTGCATCTCTGTGCATTTTTGGCACCGAGTCCACCAACACAAAACAATACCCTCTGAATCCCACCACCCTTTTTCTCTTCTTCTTTTTCTTCGTTTTTTTTTTTGATTGTTTTTGTTGTTGTTGCACTGCTGTTTAATGAACACTGACTAACCACAAAGGCTACTCCCAGACTTTCTCCAGGACGACACAAAGAGATTTTTTTTTAATAATTAATTGCGGCAATAACTCATTTATTAATATAGAAGAAAATAATGCATATAAATAAACTCACCGTTTATTCAGCAAGTGGGGAATACAAAAAAAATCTTCGAGAAAAATTGTGGGACTTGTAGAAAATATATTTGTGTCTGTACGACAAGTCTCGTTCTCCGTTATTTTCTCCTCGCTCTCTTCCCAGCCTGTCCCTCCAAGCTTCCCGCTAATCTCCTGTTACTTCACTTTTCCTCCACCTCCTTTATTTTTCCGCTGCGCCTTCCTTCTCTGTGTGTCCACCGGCGTTGGGTTTTTTTTCTCCTTTTCTCCAGCAGGAGGAACATTCAGCACACGGGGAGAGAAAAAATACTCAGCGGTCACTCAAAAGGCAAGATGGAGCCATTGAGGTTTTAGGGGTGTTTTTAAAGTCATCTGCCGGTAAGTCAACAGCGGGTCTCGGTGAAGTGGGTTGTTTTCATTCAGACAAAGGGTAATGTATAGAAAGATGGTGACAGCTACGGTGTGGATGTGATAAAACCTAACGAGACGCCGAGAGAAAAAACAGCGGGCTTCTATTTTCTGGCTCACCCCTCTGCTTTGACGCCACAGTGGTACGGCCCACCCTCACCGGGCTTGTGGAATGGAGCCGAGCATTCCCGCCTGGGCTCGAGCCAGCAGGTAAATAAACACACCTGCCCACGCAGAGAAAAGAAAGATAAACTTAACGAAGACCAATAATGAGCCCCACTCCCCAACCAAAGACGGTCTGGTGGCATTTAGGGATGGGGTCAGGGAAGGAGGTTCTGGTCACTCTGTGTATTTGTGCCCCGGAGTATGCCACCCTCAAAGACTGGGCTATTTAAAAACATCCACGAAGCAGGGCTTTGACTTTTCACGAGTTTCCTTTGGTCAAAACAAAACTAACCACCAAAAACAGCTCAGTAATAACAAATTACTTACAGTAAGTTTAAATATGCAGATTTTACATGTAAGTGCCAGTGCATGGATGAGAAATTACCAAAGTGTAAGATCTTTAAATCACCCACTTTGCACAAATTATTGACAGTAATTTTTGTGAATTCTGTACTGATTCATAATAATAACAATAATAAAATTTATTAATAATTTAAAAAATTCAAGTAGAAAAATTAGATACCTTGCTCCATTTATTTGCCAACAACATCCCAGTAGTGATAGTAAGAGAGTGAAGCGTAGAGTAAAAACAACTCTGTGACAGGCCCCTGGGCACATTTTCTTTTTCTTTTTTTATTCTGCATATCTAAATAATCCAATAATATCAAGCATAATTCCGTCTTTTTATCAGCTCCATGAACAACAACCACAGTGAGAGGTTGGCGAATGTACAAATTTATATAGGTGTATGAATTCATGTGAACATCTTCAGACATATTACCACAAACCCAAAACAGATTTAATTGTCATGCTGAAGTAACGAAGAAAGCTGTAATGTCTAAAAGCACAGAACAAATGAGACAAGCTTATTAACCACAGATCCTCACAAACAAACCACTTATTTCTACAAATCCTCATTCAACAATCATCTCCAGTGGACCAGGTACATATATCACGCGCACACTGTTCGGTATGAATGCATATTTTCAACAAACACAAACTACGGGCATATCAGAACTTCATCTTGCACTCAGCAAAGTCATTGACAGCACTGCTCAAATCCAAACTCCTGGCAATATACTCACAATACTCTCTTCTCTTCATCCATTTTTAAGCACTTGAGACTTTTAAACACATGCCACTGTGCCCATGAACTAATCTATAAAACACTTTGTGAAAAACTAATTGATGCTTGCTCGATTTTCCAGGTAAAAAAATAAATCCTAGAAAGCTGATTCTGTTTCTGTGGATGTTGCGTTGTCAGTGTGAGAAACATCTCCATCAGTTAGCCGAGACTGGACAAGTGGTGAAACATTTCTCCCACTTGAAACGCGACGTCCAGATGAACAGAATCAGTTTCAATTGCGTTTTGGTCATCATCCACAAATGAGAGAGAGCATGGTCAGGAAGTACAACTTGCTTCTGCACCATCAAAGATTTTCAGAAAAGGTGCCGATTATGATCCGTGGAGTGTAAAATGACAGAGTAAATATTTGCATAGCTGGAATTCAGTTCTTGAGGAAATTGTATAACGTATGCTTTATAAATAAAAAGTTAGGCTTTGGTTTCACAAGGTAGAATTATGACGTAAACATATTAGTGGAACTCATACCGTCGGCCCACTTTACCATAACACATTTAATATTTGTTTAATGTGGAAGAGCCCTCCTGACATTGAGGTAGTCCGGGCCTCTCCTCCTACCTTCTATCCTGTTGGATCTCATGTCTTTGATAATCGACATCTAGCCTATATACGTCCAACAAATTGCAACTGAGGTGTGGATAGGTTGAAAAGGTTAGCATAGGTTATCAAAGCAGTTAGCAGTCCCACTTTGGCAAAAGCTTAAATAAATTTTGCATGACTGCACTGAACGTTAACTTTGTACTTAGACCCTGTTTGTTAACTTAAAGGCAGATTAACTGATTTGGTTATGTAGCTATGTGATGCAGTCTTTATATCCTTTCGGCAAACTAAAGTTGTATAGCGGTGTCTTGTTGATATGTAAATGTTTCTGTATATATACACATCTTTTAATGGCATTTAGCTACAATTTAGTCCAGTTGCATAGTTCTATGTTCTGTGCTAGAACTCATAGTGGGCTCTTTCACTCACGGAAGGAAAAATAAATATGACACATGCAGTTCCAGCTAAAACTGTACTGTAAGCTACACCCAACTACTGAGAACCAGAGCGTCGCTCATCGGCTCTGTGGTTGTGTAAGTCAGGTTAGAGTTTCCCCAAGTGGGACACATATAAAGACTTATATTGCCACTCAATTACATTATTTCCTCATGTGTTTCCTCACAGCGACAGTCAAAGTGAATGACTGAACTATTCCGGTGGGATTTCATACGGAATGTATGGTTCCATACTGTGGCCTTATTTTTCCACCTCTAAAATGTAAAGGAGTTCCTATAAATATTGTAGCTGTATGATTATTATCCTTCAAAGAAAATTATCCTAACTAAATGGTGCTGCATGAGGGCATTTTTAGACAAGTTGTCTAAATGCTGCATGTTGTAGTGGTATTATGATTTTTTTTCCCCACATCCATTCAAACATTGTGCTCTTTGGATAGATTTGGCATAAAACTTCATCAATATGTTCTGTGCATCATAGTTGGCGGTTTAAAAATCTCTTCACAGCTCTAAATGCACCCCCTTACATAATGATCCTCCAGCCTGTGCTTCTGCCATGCTGTTGTAAGCCAGATATTTGTTCCACCAGAACACACTGACGCCCATTTAAATAAGTTACAGTGTCGCTGTGAATTCAGTCCAAGTCGGCAAATACAATACGAATGCCCTCATACTTCACTGTGTAAAGAAAATCTGACTCATTCTATCATATGTTCAAACTCTCCGTTACAGAAGACAGATAGGCTCACTCTAGTGAGCTGACACAGATGGAAAGAACTCAAGACACGCACTGTCGCAACTGCTACAATTGCCTCACTTATATATCCGTGGCCACTGCTTATCTTGACCCACCAGCTGTGCAGACAGGCTGGATTAAAGGGCTTTCAGGTGACATAACACACCCTGTGGTGGACTCACTAGAGGCCCAATGACGTCTGATAATATTTGTTGCTGCAAACATAACACGAATCAATGTCCTCAGTTTTGGATAAAATGATTTTCTCTGCATACAAACAGTAAACTAAGAGTCTATGCAGCGTAAATCGTTATTGTCTGCGTGTGTGTCTTTTTTGTGCCCCTTCCAAACTTTCAGAGTAGAGTGCTGCCCCTTGCTCTGCCTGATTCTGCTGCTGTACTCTTTATGTTAAATAGAGTTCTTTCTTTCTCTTGTTGCCAAGTGCTTGCAGGTCTTTGCTGCTGAAAGTGATTATTGAGGCCTTGAGGCAACTATTGAGGAGGCCGACTATTGTTACAATCTGGTACAAAAGATGACAACAACTAAAAGTGAACTTAAATTAATGAATTTAAATTAATGGATGTTCATGTTAGACTTTTAACAAAAAAAAGTGTTTCTTTAACAACTCTATTCTACATTTCTAGAATTTTTTTCCAATTAAAAAAGTTTCTCAGTAGAAGAATAATAAACGCCCCAGTGGCTCAAACTCATGAGCTCATGCGTTGGAGTTCACAGCTTATCACAAGGTGTTAATTAACCTTGTATAGATATAACAGAATTCCTGAACTTATTATGCTGACAGAAAAGATTTATTTGTAAGAGTCCGACAAGTTCAGATCGTCATGCAACAAATGATAAAAGAACAACTTTTTTGATTTATTCTAAACTTACTACAGTATTTATGGTACTCTTATCATGTCACTATGCTTACATACAGCACATTCCACTGAAAACTAAATGCAGATTAGTTTGAGTGGGAGGCAGATGGATGATTTATACCTACATGCAGATTCAGATTACATCATACATGTGCATAGCTATGTAAAACTTGGCTGGCTGGCTGGCTGGATGGATATTGAATTTGTTTGCCTATCTCAGCCAACTACTCGGCTGGTGTTGGAGTTAATTGGACAGCCAGTATTAAACTGGTGCATGTTTTCTGTCTTCCAACTAAATGTATAGGAGTCAGCAGTCATTTCCAGATGTGTTTTTCAAAGCTGTCCCAGGTCAGCTTATTTGCACCACGGGCTGAAACAGCATGTGAGACGTTCTCTCCATCTTGTCCCGACCTCTGTGTGACCTGAAATGAACTCGAACTTTAAATCAGGCCAAATCTACTGTGTCTGTAATCACTAAAGCACAGCAGGAGCCAGTGATTGAGCAGCGTCGCTCCACCAAACAATAGTGAGTCACTGAGGTCATGGCAGGTTGATTGGCCCATGAAAAATGTTCTCCTTCTTGGCATCTATTACATTTACCGGTCCTGAGGATAAAATACGTGTGTGTGTATGTGTGTGGTCTGTGGGGATTTCTGGCACCCTTGGAGCCAGTCAACACTGTAACAAACAGATACCTTCTGGTGTAAACATGTCATTGCGGGGAACTTTGTTTTTGTACTACTGCCAGTAAAAAGGCTAGTGAGAGGACTGAATTATTCCAGTGTACAGCAACTCTCTACATTAAAAAAAGTTTGACGCACAGCGTGTTACACAACACAGAGAGAACAATCAGCCTGGAACTAGTTTTGTTTGTTTTCTGATAAAACACTGACTGCTGAGCTACAAGGACACGCCAGCAGCTACATGTTGAGCACAATCTGACACTGCATGCAGTATTGCATTCAAAAACATTTAAAATTAAGGATCAT